GCCAGATTTGAACTCAGGAAGATGAGTCTTCTTGACTCCAGGCCCAGCACTCCATCTACTTCGCCACCTTGCTGCCCAGATAAGGGCATTAGGGAGATACAAATAAAGTGCAAATTGAGTTGCTTTAACTACACATACATACATACATACATGCATATGTATGTGTATATATATAATATATATATATGTGTGTGTGTATATATATATATATATGTATATATATATGTATATGTACATATATATACACAGAGAGAGAGAGAGATGGAAATAGGCCTTGTTTCTTTTTTCTTTCTTTCTTTCTTTTAGTTTTCAACATTCACTTTTATAAGATTTTGAGTTGAAATTTTTTTCTTCTTCCCTCCCTCCCTCCCCTCCCCCCTTAAGATGGCAAACAATCTGATACAGGCTATAAATGTACAATCATATCAATCATATTTCTACATTAGTCATGTTGTGAAAGAAGAATCAGAACAAAAGGGAAAAAAAACACAAGAAAGAAAAAAATAGGATGCTTCAACCTGCATTCAGACTCCATAGTTCTTTCTCTGGATGTGGACAGCATTTTCCATCCTGAGTCTTTGGGAGATGTCTTAGATCATTGCATTGCTGATAAGGGCTAAGTCTCTCAAAGTTGATCATGGCACAATGAGGCTCATTGTGTGCAGTGTTCTCCTGGTTCTGCTCACTTCACTCAGCTTGCTTGTAGATAGGGGGCAATGAACTGGAGCACCCCCTCCTGAACCGAAATACCCATCTGCCCAAAAGTATGAATTGGGTTGTTACAGAATCACTATTTATTTATCTAAATGGCAAGGAAACTGTCCCTAAGACTTGCATTACCCAGGGACTGAGACCCAAACTGAGTCTTCCTGGATGTAACTTCAGGCTATATATGGTTTCCTGTTTATTTAAGGGCATAACAAAACCTGCCCACCTGGAGTCAGGGTCCTTTAGATTTGACAAGGTGCTCAGGCGTCTTACCCTTTCTTGCCCTCCTCTTGTTATCTATTGAATAACCTATCAATGTTTCATTTTATTCTAATACCAGGCCTAAACTACTCAGGGACCAGCCCGAGTCAGGCCCAGGTAGTCATAGGCCTCCTGACAGGCTAGAATCCTAAATCCTGCCTTACTCTCACAAGTCTCTGTAATTTATTTGATTGTATTCCTACTTGCATGAAAGGAGATGGGTATGGGAGAGGGGGGAGAGTAATAAAAAACGAGATCACTGGAGGTAATTTGGACCCTCTGGCTGCCCTGTACTGAATGTTTCTTTGGGTAGATGAGAAAGGAAATATTCTAATGCTGACCTCTCCTCTCTTCTTGGCCTCATAGTGAAATTCTTGGTGGCTCTGGCAATGAAATGATACATATGCATGGCTTAGGCCTGTGATATAAGTAGGTTGCTTTTGCATTAAACCCATGTTGTAGTGGCCTAGAATATTGGTCTGGAGGAGAAGGAAGACTTGGATTAGCCTTTAATTGTTTAAGATTGAAATAATAACACTTTTACGTCTATCCATCTATCTATCTCTGAGCTCTCTCTGTATATATGTGTGTATATATGCACATATACACACATGTGTATATATGTACATCCACATACATACACATATGTATGTATGTAGATGTGTGTACACACACATATGTGTGTATATATGTAGATTGGATCGTAGGAAGAAAACCCCCTCCACCAGTGCCAATCAACATTTGCTCCTGTAACTTACTGTCTTAGAAAGTTGCTTGGGTCATAGGAAGATGAAGTGATTTGCCTAGCATCACACAGCCAGTATACTTCAGAGGCAAGTCTGGCACTCAGGTCTTACTGATTGTGAGGACAGCTCATTAGTCACTGCCATGTTGCCTTCCCAGTTTAGGGATAAGGAAAGTTTGGCTCGGAAAAAATTAAGTGACTTGCCTCATGGTGGTCATTCAGTTAGTAACTAATTAATGGATAATAATAATAGTTAGCATTTATGTAATGCTTTAAGGTTTCCAAAGCATTTTTCAAATATTATCTCATTTTATCCTTATAACAACTCTGGAAGGTAGGTGCTATTATTTCCCCCATTTTACAGATGAGGAAAGTGAGGAGACAGAGCTTAAGTAATGTGCCCAAGATCACACAGGTAACATGTATTTGAAACCGGATTTGAATTCAGGTCTTCCTGACACCAGGTTCAGCCCTCTATCCACTGCACCACATAGCTACCTACCTGTTGGAGCCCATTTTGAATCCAACTGTAACTAAAATTAGAGTACTCTTTCCTACCTAGTCCCTCTCCCAAGTACCAGAGTCCATTCATGGTCATGGTTATTAATCACTCCACATAGACCCATCCCTGCATTAGAGAATGGCCTCAGAAAGGGGAGCTGAATCCCTTGAACATACGACATCATTAATCTAACTCAGAACCAAGGTGACTGGTACCTCTGAAAAAACTAAGAGAACTTCCTTTTCTTACTCTCTGGCCCTTGTTGCAGGTTGCCAAAGGGCACTTAATTCAGCCCTTCTGATACTGCTGTTGGTTCTCTGCTTACCTGTTTCTCTTCTGGATACATCCTATGGTTCACTCACAGGGCCAGAAGGTTTTCTGAAGGTTGTCACAGAGCAAGGGAGAGTAGCTCCAGGCAGGAAACTTTACACCCACTCCTGGCTGGGCACACATGGGATCCCATTAGACCAGGCAGCCAGGGATGCCAGCTGCTGAAAGCTTAGCACCCTCTCTGCTAACAACATTCTTGCCTCTGTGTGTGTGTGTGTGTGTGTGTGTGTGTGTGTGTGTGTGTGTGTGTGTGTGGTGTGTGTGTGTGTGTGTGTGATATTCCTCAGGGCCCAATCTGTTTTCTGGAGGCTGGTAGACAGAGAGTGAGTGAATGGAGGTTAGAGAGGAAAGACAGTTCTAGTGGTTGTGTCTTTACTGAATTCCAGTGTAGCACTGAAAAACTTCAGAGGAAGACAAGAAAGCATGTTTGACACCTCAATTATCTCTTTTGCTTCAATCTTACATATCTCTCTTTTAACCTAAGGAGTCAATTCATTATTTATTCAGTTGTAGCAGCCAGTTCTCCATTATCTATAGTGAGATATTTATAGTAAATCAACTCTTGGTCCATTCACTCCCCCAACTTCTGAATAAGATGTTAAAGTGTGTGGATACAGGAGTATGGGAAGTTAGAAAGGAGATAGTAGAAAGATGGGCATATGAAAAGAGGTAGCAGTAGGTGCCACAGTGAATAAAGGGCCAAGAGTCAAGAAGACTCATCTTCCTGAATTCAAATCTGGCCTCAGACACTTATTAGCTGTATGACCCTGGGCAAGTCATTTAACCTTGTTTGCCTCAGTTTCTCATCTGTAAAATGATCTGGAGAAGGAAATGGCAAACCACTCCAGTATCTTTGCCAGGAAAACCCCACAACACGGAGTCACAAAAAATCAGACATGACTGAACAACAACAATGTACAAGAAAAGAGGAGGAGGGAAAGAGCAATGGTCTGTGGTGCCCTACAAGTTGGAAAAACAGTGCACAATTTACTAAAAGTTGTTTCATTGGTTTCTTTTGCCAATACCTTCCCCGTCCCCCCCCCCCCCCACGTCGGGCGAATGGAGATGAGACGTAGAGAGTCATGGTTAGGGAAGGGGGAAAGGAAGAAGGAAATATTATGTGCCAGGCCCTGTTAGGCACAAATATCTCATTTGATCCTTACAACAACCCTACAAGGTAGAAGCTATTATTATCCCCATTTTACATAGAGGAAACTGAGGCAGACAGAAACTAAGTGACTTATCCAGGGTCACACAGTAAGTGTCTGAGGCTGGATTTGAACTAAATAAGCTCTTCCCAACTTCACATTTAGTGCTCTATCCACTGTGCTGCCTAGCAGCCTCCAGGAGAAGAACAATTAGTCTAGTTTGAATAGCTTGTGGAGGGTGTGAAGGAGAATAATGTATAATAAGCATTCACAGGTAGGCTGAAGCCAGGTGTTAAGGGCTTTCGATGCCAGAGGACTTCGCATTCTATTGTAGAGGTGATTGGTCATATTCATGCTTTAGTAATATTTTGGCAGCTGGGTTGATAAGTGAATTAAATACAGGAGAGACTTGAGGTAGAGGGACTGATTGAGAGGTTCTTATGAAATTCCAGGTAAGATCTAATGAAGGCCTGAAGTAGGGTATCAAGTATGTGAGTGAAGGACATGGATATGAGATGATGGGGAGATATAATTAATAAGACCTGGGGACTTATTAGATGTGGGGGCTAAGGTATAAGGGGTGCAAACCTAGGTGACTAGAAGGATGGGGATACCCTTCACAGAAAAAGCAAGCAAACAAGCAAGGAGGATTTAGGGGGGAAATAATAAATTCTCTGTTGGACGGAGGCCACTTGGGTTTCTTTTACCGGGTTTCAGGTGAAACTGGATAGGAAGTAGAGGAAGAGGGATGAGGGCCAGTCAGGACTGGGTTGCCCACGTTAGTGGTGGGGGCTAGATAATCAGGTGGGGAGATAAGGCCAGATGACCCAAGGACTGCCCACTTGGCAAATGCAGAAGTGATTTTCTGAAAGGTTTTTTGTATATATTGGGCCTACACTTGTGTGTGTGTGTGTGTGTGTGTGTGTGTGTATTAATAAAGTGTATATAGCAGCCACCAAGTCTCAATTACTTGAACTAGTGGAGGGTACAGCTACCTCCAAATAACACTTAGATTGGGTGTTATAATGTATCATATGTCCTACTACCACCTCCCAACAGATTTACCCTATTAGCACAAATTTAAGACATCTGTGAATTTTTTTATCCCATATTAAAAAAAAAAGTTTCCTTTTCAAAGAACATAATTTTTAAAAATTATGAAAATATACTCAGTAATATGTAATCCAAACACAATTCTGTTTTCCATTTTCCATTCCCAAATAGAATCAAGCCTACAGGTAATCTACAACTTTATTTTGGTTCACCTGCAGAATGTCACTGTTATGCTTAATCCCACGGTCAACAGGTAATTTAACATAGCTCTGTGTTTGGCGCCGATCCCCAGGGACCTAGTTACCAGAGCACCAGGAGGGTAATAACTCAATAGCGTCACCTACAACGCTATCCAGTCCATGACCTCTGAGGGCAGTGCTTCTGACTCCAATATAATGCCAATCGACTTCTCCCTGACCACGACACCAACAAGAAGCCAGGTATGACTCTGCTCTTCTCCTTTTCCACCTATTCTGTGGAAGTGTCACTGAACAGAGAAGGGCCTGCCGAGAAGGACGCTGAAGGACAGAAGTGAAATAAGCCCAACCTGATAAAACCCATTAATGACAGACGGGAGGTCATTGTTTGTTACATTAGTCTACTGGTAGTACACAAACTGATTAGTGGACATACACGTACAAGAAAATCCACATCATGACTCAATACCATCCTAAGTCTTGGCTTTGGGTGTGTGATGGGACCAGGATTGTTCTAACACAACTTCTTTCTTCTCATGCACAATGTGGGGAGACTTTACCCAAAAGAAGACAAAGCTAGCTGGTCCGAAGACCTGACTGGCTTACATGATTGGCCTCAGCTTCCCTGATGTAGCTTTTCTGCATCCACAGGCCTAAAATGTCTCAGGCTCCTTGGATTCGATGGATTCCTGAAGCCCACAAGTCATATTCCTCTGTTCTGTTGACCAGACATGTTTCCATATGGAGATGGAGGGGGATCCCATCCAGAACAACCACCTGCCACTGTATTTTTTGTTCTATATCTTTTCTCTGTCAGGTAAAGTTGAGGAAAAAGTAAACTTCCTTTTGTTCAGTGACTTGTGAATACCTCACTTCATCCCAACGTTGAACTAGAACTAAGAGGATGCTGGCATTAGGGCCACCTCAGATAAGTAGATTACTGAGAAAGTAGTGCCACACAAGAATGCGACTGAATTCCAGGCAACTGGCTCGGCTCTGAGAGCAGCTGACTTGTTGTTGATGGCCCACAGATGTTGGGAGGTTGTTGGGGTTTAGATAGAGGTAGACAAAGGGAGCCTGATTATATTCAAAGAGCAAGATGGTGCATTTTAACCATAAACCAGTGATGGCTGCTAGACACAAAGCTCTGAGCTATAGAATTGCTACTACGTTTGGCTGAATAAGCACTTCTCAAAGACTTGTCGTGTTCCTTGCATAGAGACTATTTTGGCACTTGCCTTTCCCCCCTTATGATATCATAAATGTACACTTAGGTTGACTCTTTTCTCTCATGGTAATGACCTGCTGGAAATGAGGACTCAAAAACCAAATAGATTGGACCGTGATTCGAGGTCCTCAGGACTCCACAGAGTCCAAAGGGAGTAGTTTCACTTTGTTAAAATTGTCCTCATATGGTGGTAGGATGTCAAAGCTTTTAAAGCCAAAAGCACTCCTCTTATTTGCTGGAGAGGAAATGTAATCTTCCGAGAAGGAAGAATTGACCCTCTCTCCATTAATCTCTCAGGATTGTAGCTTTCAATTGGAACAATGTACATTTAATTTTCTTTTTTATGAGGCAACACATTGATGATCTTGGTGATCTGCATTCAGCCAACAGAGGCAGAAAAAACATTAAGCCATTATCAGAATTCTTCTAACCACTGGATGGGGCTTTAATAATTAAATGATGGCTGCTGCAAAAACTTATAATAGAACCTTGTGAGCGATTTCAAGTTGGAAGAGGCAAACAGAACAGGCTCAAATGGCCTCCTCAGGAACAGAACTGCTGCTTCCATTGTAGCTAATGACATAAAAGGAAGTAAAGACGAAAAAAAAAAAAAAACAAAAAACAAAACCCAGAGTTAAAAAGAGCCATGATTTGCAAATTTCTTGCATGACAACCACACCAAGAACGATAGGGAACAAAATCCACCCTATTATTAGACACTCACTTAGGTGACCACAGTGGTAGGTGCTGGCAAAGGCACAGTTCTAAACAGGGCCAGTTTGATAGAAATGTTTTAATAAAGTAGGAACCCTGAAGCACAAACTTGGTAAAGTTGCTCTCTACAGGCAGCTTCTTAATGGCCACATCTTATCTCCTAGAAAGGAAAACATCCCCTCTCTGTCTGGCTGGCAAACAGCAGCCACTTTGCAAAGCAGGCAGAAATCGGGCCTGTGAAATGACAGCCATCACAGGAGTCTTTTCTTTCTCCCATGGAGGCACAGTTGCAAGCTAATGAAGAAACTGTAGTATTTCATTCGAGCTCTAGCAGTTATTTTCTTGACCCGCAGCAAAGTTTGACATTTAATACAAAGCCTTCTCTGCATCCAGGAAGCATTTTCAAATCCATTAACTTCTCAGTCCTGGATTTTTCTGACCCATCTTCAAAGTTAACTCTTCTTTAGCATTTTGCTCAAAGACTGCCATTTGAGGCACATGTTCTGGTGGACTTGCCTTAGCTGCCATACTTAGCCACAATTCTAGCTGGGCCATTGGGTCAAAAGAATAGTGGCACAAACTTCTCTGGCCACAATATATTCTAAATAGACTTCTGGGGACTATTTTAAATCTTATTTTTATACATGCTTCTCAAACGACGAATAGAATATTGCAAAGGATATTGGCCATTTGTAGTACAGTGGGAAGCACTGGATTTAGAATCAAAGGACCTGGGTTAGAATCCCTACCTTGCCATATTATTACCTGTGTGACCTTATTTAACCTCTCTGGGTTGTGGTTTCCTCAGATGTAAAATGGAAGGACTGGACCATGTGACATGAGGACACTTCCAGCTCTAAATTTAAATGATCCTTTCTTAGGTCATATCTTGTATAAAGCAAGATGCATTTTTTCAAAAGTGCGTAAACAGAACTTGTGTAAATCAAGTAAAGTTTCAAATACACTACTAGATGCCAGAGCAAAGAAAATCTGCAGTGACTGTAATGGGAATAATCCCAATTTAACTCCTTTGTAAGATCTGAAATTTCTGTATTAAATTTGTTTTTAGTTCTAATTCTTCTTTACATGACTAAACTGAAAATAGGTTTAACATGAATGTATATGTTGAGCCTTTATCAAATTACATGCTGTCTGGGGGTGGGGAGAGGAGAGACAGGGAGAAAATTTGGAACTCAAAACCTTATGGAAGTGATTGTTGAAAACTAAAAATAAACAAATGAATTTATTAATAAAAAACTGTAAAAAATAAAAGAAAACCCTATATTAAAAAATCCACATTTATAAATTAAAGAATTATTGTTCACCTTATAAGCAGATGTTATTTTCCAGAAGTATTAATTAAAAGATTTCTTTAAATAAAAAAATTTTAAAAATTGTTTTTAAAGTGGAATAAAATGGACGTTTTGGTTCTAATTCATGGTTATCAAGTGACTTGCCCAAGGTCACACAGCTACTAAATGTCTGATTCAGCATTTGAACTCAGGTCTTCCTGACTCCAGGTTCAGCACTCCAACCACAGTGGCATCTATCTACCTTGTATGAAAATAGCCTTGAATCCCTTTACTTTGCTGTTAAATTTCATTGGCGTCTTCTACCCTAAAGGGAAATTTATTCCATCAGCTCCCATGTCCCTAATCATCACTTATGGGTTGAAGTCTCACCATGGCCAAATTAATTTGAGAACTGCTATTCTACAGATTTTGGCTATTGTTAAGCTGTGAAGGGGTTGCTTATTATTATTATTTTTTTAATGAATCAGTTTAACAAATTGAAAAAAAAAAGCCAAACAAAGGCTGTTCAGTGATTAAGCAGAAATACTCATGGTTAGCTTCTGGAAAGGGCTTTCTCAACTCTAATGAGATACTTATAAAAAGGTGGCTCAGGAAAGTAGGTTTACATTTACATCTTTCGAGAATATTTGAGAGAGATCTGACAACTTTTCTAATGAAATTAGTATTTCCATTTCACTTCAGTTCTTTGTTGAAAAGTTCCAAAGGCTTACTACCTGGAGAAGGCACTTTCAGGTATGAATGACGGCTCTGTTCCACCCCACCCCTCAACCCCCAATTAGCCGGGATGAAATCTCAATGAGTTTAAGCTTTAATTTATATTACTTAAGTGACAAGGATCAGGCAGAGTTCCTTTCTATTCTTAGAATGATTTCTCATAAGTGTTTTCCCTTTAGTTTTCTTTATAGGCATAGTCACAAAATATGTATACACCTGCATTAATCTGTGATTAAACAGCACCCTTCCATGATTTGCTTGCTGAGTTTCTGGGGTACAAATTATCCATATAAAAATCTAGAAATTGTGCCTGACTGAATTTGGTAGCAGAACTCTCAAGGTATCAAAGAGCCCTACTACTGAGATTTGGCCTGGTGCTACCTCTTCTCCATCACTAACATAAAGGAAGGAAGCAATGAACTGTATATGGCTTCACATTATGGGAGCCATTGTTCTGAGTCTTTGGGGATAAGCCTCCCCACTGCAAGGCATTCTTCCATTCAGCCTTTTCCTGAGGAATTCCAGCGAAGGTGCATTAAATGAAACCACTCATTATTAAAATGATCTGGAGTTTCGGGGCTTTAAGATTCATTAGTACAACAGGGGAAATTGCTAGATACTGTTCTCATATGACTATTATACCTTACCACAAATTAGCTAAGTAGAATCTACATAAAGTGACTGAAGCCAAGTTGCTAGATTTAGTTTTTTGGGGGCCAGGGTGGGGGAGAGAGAGAAAAAAGGTAGTTTGTCTATGACACAAACAGTGAAATTAAAACATGGTAAGACTTCAGAGTACATGAAAATCATAATAGTTTTTCAGAAAAAAAAACATTAAACTGGAAAATATAGTGAGACATCATTCTTTGATGTTGTCAACCAGGCATGAAAATGTTTTAACTGGATAAAATTAGGAAAAAGTAAAAGTGGTTTAATATATTTAAGCTGCTTACAACATGCAATTAGATTTCACATTTATTAAATTTGTTTCTCCGTATTACATACAGAAAATAAAAATGAGCAGGGAACACTTTTCCATGGATGAAACTTCCACATTTATTTTTCTTCCATGTGCATAGAAAATGGCAGTGAAGTGTCTTATGAAAGAGGCAGGGAATGGGAACGGCATTGCTATACTGGACTGGACTTTGTGCTTCCAAATTACACTATTCATTTTAAAAACAAAAAAATATGGTATTTTTAAAATTGATAATAGTTTCTTGGGTCTCTCATTTGCTTTTTAATTGTTAGCTTTTGAAATCTCTTTTAAAATGACACACTGCATTACAAATGATGGCACTTTTAACCAATGTGGCATTTCCATATTTACACCAACAAAAGAAATTTACAAGACATAATAGCATACAATCTCGACATTTAGTAATAGCAATAAAACAAGAAGGGCATCCATTTTATTTTTTTTTCTGTACAAACTATCAGAACGTGACTTTATTCACATAAAAATCATCTGTAATTTTTGATTTGATCTACACATTCTCCCAACTCATTTTACCCATTTCTCAAACCTTTCATCACACTGCCCACACCTTCACCACACTACAGCAACTACAAGTAATTAGATCTAACACCTAAGCAGAGCTATAAAGTTCTCTTCCAATGCTTTCCTCACTTTCCTGATAATTCCTCAAAGGAAAAAAAATGCCTCTTCCCTTGTTCCTTCCATTTCACTTGCATGTTTCACCATCAAATCAGCAAACATATCTCTCCATCTCAATTGAAACAAGGTTAGGAAGAAAAGAGTTCTCTACTGAGCTTCTTGATGCTACACCCAAGAGTCTGGTGACCCT